AAAAAAACAATAGTGTTCTTCAGGAATAAGCTCTCTAAGTGGTTATCCAGTACTGAATTATCCGTATTAAACATATATATTTGTATATATGTATGTATGTATATATATATATATATATATATATAATATATTATAAATATATGCAACACTAAATGGATTCAGCAGGTTTAAGTTATATATGTAACAATAATGATTAAAGAAAAGAAGGCTGTGAATTCAAGATGGAATAGTGTGGGGGAAATTTGGAAAGAGGATAGAAGACAAGAAAACATATATACATATATATGTCTCAAGGAAGCAAAAAAATAAGAAATAATTTTATACAAAGTATCTGTTATAGAGAAAGATTTTCTAAGTCCTTATACTTTTTTCCATAAGTACTGAAGTTTTTTTATGGTGTATATTTTACAAATAGTGACCTGGATATTCCTACAGTATGATGTCATTTGTTGCAGTTAAACATTTTCTTCATCCATGATATTCAGATAAGTGACATAGATAACAGTGATCACGTCAACTTCTTCTTTCCCATTTTCTTCTTTATTGTCATGGATCATCACATAGTTAATTCTTACATTACAGGGGCTTTTTTTCACTTTTGCATTACACATTTCTGAATACAGATATATTAGAATTTATGTCTGTAGGGGTCTCACAGTGACTATGAAGAACAGAGATATTCAATCACAAGCAGCCACGTAAGTGGCAGATATTGCTGAACTAATGACTGATTGTTGTCCTGAAATATCTAATGCTCCCAACTATAGCTTAGTTGTTCTCAAAAATCACTTGGAAAGAATTACTCAAAAAATCACTTGGAAATAATTACTCAGCTATGTTCATAGCAGTTTCATTTATAATAGCCAGAAACTGGAGACAACTTAGATGTATTTCAACAGAAGACTGGATACTGTGGTACATTTACACAATAGAATACTACTCAGTTATTAAAAACAAAGAAATGATGTAATTTGCAGGCAATTGGGTGGAACTAGAAAAGATCATCCTGAGTGAGGTAACCCAGCAGCGGAAAGACACAAATGGTATATTCTCACTTATAAGTTGGTATTAGACCTACAATATAAAATAACCATATTACAATTCACAGACCCAAAGAAGCTAAGTAACAAGAAGGGCCCAAGGGAGTGAGCCAGAATATTACTCAGAAGGGCAATTACAATACACAACAGAGGTGGATGAAGAGAGAGGAATGGACAGGAAGTAGAATAGGGAGGGAAACATGATAGGGCTATGATATGGGGATAATAGGGGGAGTTAAGAGAGCTAAGAATAAAAGGGGAAACTGAGGAGGAACATCTCTTTGTCAAGCTGGAAGCCCTGACACAGTAGGCTCCTGGGAGGACATTGGTGTGCCTCTAGCTAAGACTCCTAACAAGGGGGATGTGAAGACTGAAGAGACGACATCCTAACCAGTAAGACTAGTGGAAGGAAGGGAACAACAGCCCATCCCCAAAAAATTCTTTGATCCAAAAATTACTGTGCCTACAAGAAGTACAGGGATAATGAGGGAGCAGAGATTGAGGGAAAGTCCAATCAATAATTGGCCCATCCTGAGATCCACCCCACAGTAGAGAGCCTGTATGTGACACTATTAAGGATACTCTGCTATGCTTGCAGACAGGAGCCTAACTTGACTGTAGTTTGGGAGGCTCTAGGCAGTAGTGGATCAGGACACATACTAAGACTTGCAGCCAAGCATTGGGTGGAATGCTGGAGGTCCTGAGGAAATGTTGGGGGAAAGATGGAAGGACCTGGAGGGGACAGGGATCTCACAAGAAGACCCACAGATACAACTAACCCAGTCCCATGGAGGCTTAGAGACTGATATATCAACTAAGGAGCATGCATTATCTGGACATAAGCCTCCTGCACACATGTACCCAATGGGCTACTTGGTCTTCACAGAGGTTGCCTGGCAAGTGGGTGGGAGGCAGCTGTTTCTAACATGGGCTCTAAATTCCACCTGGATGGGCTATCTTTCCTCTCCACAGGGGATGAAGATATGCTCAATCCTGATGTAACTTGATGTGCTGGGAAAGGCTGATATGGGAGAAGGGAGCTTTCCTTTTCTGAGGAGAAAGGGAGATGGGAAGAGGGAAAGGGAGAAGTGGGAGGAGAAGCGAGAGGGGGCATACTTGGGATGTAAAATAAATTTAAAAAAAGAAAGAAAAATAAATTAAATTTAAAAATGGTAGTTTTTAGGTCTCCAACTTCCAGTTTCATTATGCCTGATATTTTGTTTGTTATATGGTCTTCATTGTACAGTGTAGGTACTACACCTTGAGAACCACCATTCTACTAGTTATTTTTAATTAACACTTATTCAATTAATACTCTTATATTGCTTCTTAAATGTCATTCTTATGCTAATCAATTTAATACTTGTGCCAATTTGTGTTATTCTCTTAAATTTCTCACAGTTGTTTGTTTTTGTAATCAAGCACTTATATCCTACATGTAATATTTATTAGCACATATTTTAATGTTTCCTATGATCATCATCTTTTCTTGCTACCTATCCTAAAGTATTAACCTATTTTGCAAAGGTCTCTTTTTGCTTTTCAGATAAATATTGGAATTATTTTCTAAGATAAAGATATAAAGGAATATCCTATTTGAAATTTCATTGGGTTTATACTTATTTTCAAGATTACTTTTTAGAGAATTATGCTTTAAGTCATGCAAGTTTGAAACATGTGCTTGCCCTCTCTTCAAATCTGCTTACATGTACCTTAGTAAAGTTTGCTTATCAACTCATGCATGGGCTAATACAATAATCTTCTGTAACTCTCCAACCAATTCAAATCTGACATGACAACAGTTCCAGATCAATCTGCCAAAGAGCAGGACATTAAATATAAAATCTGCTTCTTGAACATTTTTGTGATATTGAATTTCAAAGTAAGTAAGGTAAAAACTGTTTAACCCATGGTGTAATTTTTAGTTAAACTCTCATGATTAATGGAATTCTAATGCAACTGTTATTCAGTATATCTAAGAGTAAAAGAAGTTTGGAATCTTGGACACTTGGAGCTGCACAAGATAAGGTGCTTATACTAAATGTTAATTTACTATATAATTTTTAGATGAGATAAATAAGTTTCTTCAAGTAAATAAGAGTACCTTTCCAAACTACTTAGAACATACTTCGACTCTGAAGTCCAGAAAGTATGCTAACCTGTTTAACTTCCATTTTGCAAACCTGTGTAAAAAAATAGCAACTTTATTTCATCCATTTTGGAATCACTTTAAACAAGGAAGGAGCAAAAAAGTATGAGTAAAAAAAAAATCAGTATTTTTCTAATCTTCTTTTGGAAGCACTTATTATTAGATAAACATGGAGAGGCAACTAATGCATTTCTTAATTACATTGAATAATGGAGCATACAAATCAGTAAGCAATTAAATCCTGGAGAACTATGAGATGGCCTGTTACTGAGGATTTCCGTAAAACTTAGTGTCCACATTATTTGGAGCAATATTAATTGCTGAAGCAAAGAAATTCTGAAAGTGCCCATGGATCAACAAAATAGAAGTGAATTTCTCATTAATGTGAATAGTCAAATGTAGTTGTTCCTCTTCAACATGTCACTTTTCTCCATATGGTGACTGAAAGAGCTAGTTTCCATAGTAGATCCTGGAATTGCTTTGTATAAAGCTGGCAGGCAGAGAAATTAAGCACTGCAAAAGTACAAAGGCTTCATCAGAATAACCTATCTCTGAAGTAATACACAACATTTCTGCCCACATTTCACTACTGAAAATCAGTCACATTGTCACAACAGAATACATAAGTTACTTATAAGGAGATATCATTGGGGTTGAGAAAATGTCATCATTGGATAGGCAGTTACACTACGATGACAGCTCTACATTATGAAAATGTAGGAGTGTCAATATTTGTTACAGGATGAATCATCTCTATCAATATCTTGAACTATGTTTTCCAACTGATGAAATATCAGTATTGTGCTTAATATTTTTTTCTGTACTATATTCAAGACATGTTCTACTCTATTCATTACTGAATTTCACACTTGGTGATGAATCATCCTGGTTTGTCCACTAATGGTTTCATGTGCAGATTTCTGTCTTTCCAAACAAATTATAAATTCATGTAGAACAGATTATATGTAGCAAGAATAAGCAGTAAGTATTATTAAATTCAGATGAATCCTCCCACACTTCTGAAAACCTACAAGAACTGTTCATAATCCCTCACATCAAAATTAAGCTCCTTAGATGTGGCTGGTGTTCTTCCAACTACCCAGTCATGTGCATTTCTACTCATACTACCTGAATCAATCAACACTCCAAAATTCACTAAATACCTAGAGGCTTTTCAGAGACAGTGAGTTAATATAAGCAAAATTCCCATACTTTAATTCAAAGTGAAATTATAAACTATACTAAATTTATGGGGAAAGGAACCTATAAATATATATAATTTATGACTGCAAGTAAAGCTACATGTCTTGGAAAATAATTGAATATAGTGGTGGGAATTTTAAAAAATTGTCTTTATCGGTCGTGAAGTGCTCATTTTAAAAATAGATATAATGACATAATCCATGTATGCTACCAAAAACCTGAATAATTAATCTATTTTTAAATTCAGAAACACAATTAAGAAGTCAGTTTTCCTCTATGCTCAGAAAATTTTATGTCCCAGGGTTCCCAGGGTGTTTAACTTGCTATATCCAACTAACAGTACTTCTGTTCACTCTTTTTATTTTTTCTGTGCCAAATAGCATTAAAATTAGTCACTTTTGCTTTTCCTCTTCTGCCTCTGAGTTGTGCGGAGGCTTGAGTGCATTAAAGATTAGGGGAAGAGAATGGGGGAAGTGAGAGGGAGGGCAGAACCAGGAATAGATGAGGGAGGGGGCTACAATAGGGATATAAAATGAATTAATTTAAAAAAAATAGAAAAAGACCCAATTTACTTAAAAAAAATTAGGCCTCACCCATAATCCATAGCCATGTCCAAGGAAGGCATTCCTGCTAGAGGTGTAATGAACATCAATACTACTCTACAAGAAGTGCTGCAAACCACCCTGATCCATGTTGGGCCAGCTAATGGCATACACAATGCTGCCAAAGCCTTAGACATGCGCCAGGCTTACCTTTGTGTGCTTGCATCTAACTGTAATAAGCCTATGCATGTCAAGCTCATGGAGGCACTCTGTGCTGAACACCAAATCAACGTAATTAAGGATGATAACAATAAGAAACTAGGGGAATAGGTAGGCCTCTGTAAAATCAATTAAGAGAGGAAGCCACAGAAATTGGTTGGTTGCAGTTGTATAGTGGTTAAGGACTATGGCAAAGAATGTCAGGGCAAGGATGTGATCAAGGAGTGCCTCAACTGCAAGAAATGAATAAATAAAAATATTGGCTCAAAAAAGGATTCTCTCTTTAGATTATAAGTTATATGGTTATCATATCCAAATCCCACATGGGAGTCCTCTTTATGCTCTGCAATGTGGATGGAGAAATACTATGCTGGTGGCTTCTGAAGCTTGTTTGTCATTACCTAAATTATTCCATACTGCTGCTGTACTAGTCATTTTGTTTTCTGAGACAACATTGTCTGCCAATGCCAATACTGATAACATAATATGAAGGCTACTACTGTTGATACCTTCATCAGATATGGCCTACTCTTCTGGTGCTGCTTTGCTCTCATTTCAGTATCATTAATCCCATTCTCATTTACTCTAGGAATGTATAGCTTTCCAACAAGTTAATACGATTAGTTAACTCAGAGCAGTGTACCCTTGTCATTTTTATGCTTTTGAATAGAGGTAATGTTAAAATTATTTGTATGGACCATTTGATGGTATACATAAAATAACCTCTTGGTCAGTACCTCTAGAGAGTTTCTGATAATGTTTCTATGTCACATTATCAGAATTATAAATCCTATGAAGGAGTTAGATTTTTAGCCTCCAGATCTTCTCCATACACTACCATTTGATTGTTTATTTAGATATTCCATTGCTCATAAAAGTGGAATGCAAATAAGACCCCCATAATCAAGGAATAGCTTGCTGCTTTATATCAAAGTTCAGATTGTTGAATAAGATCAGTTTTAGAATTATAATACATTGTATTTCTCATTATCCTCTTCCTTTTGTTCTGTCATGTTCAGTTGATTTTGTTATTTTATTTTGGCATTTTTTAATAATATCATTAAAACAAAAACTCTTAATATGTGTTTTGACTTGTGTTCTAAATTTTAAATGCTATATTGCACCTGGTGTCAGTTTATCATGTGGTATTCATAAAAATAGTTGAATATTGCTGAGAAGATCCTAATAGGATATTATGTTGAAGTTTTATTGTGAAACTGCTGGAATGGAGACTCTTTTTGCAGTTCAGAACACACACTGCTCTTCTAAGGGATATGGGTTTGATCTCCAGAACCTACATTTCAGCTAACAAACATCTGTAATTCCAGTTCCATTTGAGTTCCTTAGGAACCTGGTACACACATGGACTGCAGATATACATAAGGAAAAATATCCATACATATGCAATAAAGTGTATATTAATAAATTATACCATAAAGTCTCATTAATATTCTTGTATAAACAAGAACTAAATGAGAATAACACCAAGAAAAAAAGTGGACAGTACAAAGCACAGGGACCTCAACCCTGCAGAAGGAACTATAGGCAACTGAGGAAACCTGGGAACAAGAGAGATTGTCCTCTGCAGAGAAAAACATATGAATTGGTTGTCCAGTGTTAAGTGTCAGCCTTGAAATTATATAAATAACATGATATGGAATGATAAGATTATAGTCAATAATATATGTGTATATACATATAAATATACATATATGCATTCAATAACAATTAGCAGAAATTAGATCATGAATTTGAAGAAAGGTGGAAAGGCATGTATGGGGGTTTTGGAGGGAGAAAATGGAAGGGAAAATGAAGTAATTCTATTATAATCTCAAAAACAAAAGAAACAATTTAAACAAAAATCTAAAAGAAGTATTAGAATTAATAACTAACAATTACTTTGAAATAAGAAGTGCTTGAGTTCATTTATTCAACTCCTGTGTAACATGTAGCTCTGGGCAGTTAATTTAACTTTTTTGTCTATTGTACAACTTACAGAATTATAGGATGATGGGGACATACACACACACACACACACACATACACACGTGTGTGTATGTGTGTGTGTGTGTGTGTGTGTGTGTACATATATAATCAAACATGAGGTTTAATGAATCATTTTTGGCCAAATTCAAAGCATCAAGTGAATTCTCATTGTTTTATTTGTTGGTGTTCTTACAGATTGTGGGATTGTAATCCTCAAAGTCTTACATTAATATGTTTATTTAGATCATATTTCTAAAACTTTCTATACCATCACGCATTGCAAGTATATTTGATATATTGAAATACCTAATGTTTGAATCCTGATTTGTTTACATTTTTCTTTTTCTCATTTTTTTCTTATTTCAAATTATTTTTTTAATTTTTACTTTTTTTCTTTTTATTATTAGTTACATTTTGTTAACTCTGTATCCCAGCTGTATCCCACTCCCTCATTCCCTCCCAATCCCACCCTCCCTCCTTCATCTCCTCCCTGCCCCTTTCCAAGTCCATTGATTGGGAAAGACCTCCTTTCCTTTCATCTGACCCTGTTTTATCAGGTATCCTCAAGACCGGCTGCAAAGTCCTCCTCTGTGGCCCAACAGAACTGCTCCTCCCTTGGGGAGTGGGGAGGTAAAAGAGCCTGCCATTCAGTTCCTGTCAGGAATAGTCCTTGTTCCCTTTACTATTTACTATGTTCCCTTTACCAATTGGGAAACCAATTGGTCACTGAGCTACCACGGGCTACATCTGAGCAGAGGTTCTAAGTTATATCCATACATGGTCCATGGATGAGTGTCCATCTCAGAAAAGACCCCGGTGCCTAGATATATTTGGCCCTTGTGGAACTCCTATTCTTTCCATGTCATATTAACTCCCCTTCTTTCATATGATTCCCTGTATGCTACTGAAAGTTTGGTTATGAGTCTTAGTATCTGCTTTGATACACTGCTAGGTAGAGTCTTTCAGATGCCTTCTGCGGGAGACTCCTGTCATACTTTCAATGGACATCCCATTTGTTTTTCTAATTGAGGACTGATCATATTAAATCCGTGTCTGCTTTCTTGATTATCTTCTTTAGTTATATATATTTCATTCTGTTTATCATATCTTGTAGGTCTATATAAGCAAGTATATACCGTGTTTGTCTTTCTCCTTCTGGGATACTTCACTCAGAATGATTTTTAGATCCCACCATTTGCCTGCAAATTTCATGATTTCCTCATTTTTGATTGCTGAGTAGTATTCCATTGTGTAAAAGTACCAAATTTCTGTATCCATTCCTCCGTTGATGGACATCTGGGTTGTTTCCAGGTTCTGGCTATTACAAATAAAGCTACTACAAACATGGTTGAGCAAATGTCCTTATTGTGTACTTGACCCAATTTAGGGTAAATACCTAGCAGTGGTATAGGTGGGTCTTGAGGAAGCACTATTCCTAATTGTCTGAGAAAGTTCCAGATTGACTTCCAAAGTGGTTGTACCAGTTTACATTCCCACCAGCAATGGAGGAGGGTTCTCCTTTCTCCACAATTTCTCCAGCGTGGGTTGTCACTTGAGTTTTTCATCTTGGCCATTCTGATGGGTCTAAGGTGAAATCACAAGGTCATTTTAATTTACATTTCGCTAATACATGATGAGGTTGAGCATTTAGTGTTTCTCTGCCATTCGATATTTCTCTATCGAGAATTCTCTGTTTAGCTCTGTTCCACATTTTTTAATTGGATTACTTGGTTTGTTGCTCTTCACCTTCTTTAGTTCTTTAAATATACTGGATATTAGCCCTCTGTCAGATAAAGGGTTGGTGAAGATTCTTTCCTAATCTGTAGGCTTTCGTTTTGTTTTGATGATGGTATCCTTTGCTTTACAGAAGCTTATCAGTTTCATGAGGTCTCATTTATTGATTGTTGCTCTTAGATCTGTGCTATTGATTTTCTGTTCAGAAAGTTGTCTCCTGTGCCAATGAGTTTGGGCTGTTCCCCAATTTTTCTCATAACCGATTTAGAGTATCTCGTTTTTTGTTGAAGTCTTTGATCTACTTGGACTTTAGTTTTGTAAAGAGTGATAAATATGGATCTATTTTCATTTTTCTGCTAGTAGACATTCAGTTGGACCAGCACCATTTGTTGAAGATGTTGTCTTTTTTCCATTGAATGGTTTTGGCTGCTTTGTCAAAAATTGAGTATTCATAGGTGTGTGGGTTTATTTCTTGGTCTTCTATTCAGTTCCATTGATCCTCCTTTCTGTTTATATGCCAATACCATGTAGTTTTTATTACTATTGATCTGTAGTACAGCTTGAGATCAGGGCTAGAGATACTTCCAGATGATCTGCTGTTTTACAGGATCATTTGGAGAGTCTGGTTTTTTTGTATCTCCATATGAAGCTGAGAATCTTTTTTTCAAGGTCTGTAAAGAATTGAGTTGATATTTTGTCGGGAATTGCATTGAATCTGTAGATTGCTTTTGTCAGGATGGCCATTTTCACTATGTTAATCCTACCAATCCATGAGCACGGGAGATCTTTCCATCTTCTGATATCTTCTTCAATTTCTTTCTTCAGAGACTTGAAGTTTTTCTCAAACAGGTCTTTCACTTGCTTGGTTACTGTCACCCCAAGGTATTTTATGTGATTAGTGGCTATTGTTAAAGCTGTTGTTTCCCTAATTTCTTTCTCAGCCCTTTTGTCTTTGGTATACAGGAGGGCTTCTGATTTTTTTGAGTTGATTTTGTATCCTGCCACTTTGCTGAAGGTGTTTATCCACTGGAGGAGTTCTCTCATTGAATTTTTGGGGTCGCTCATATATACTATCATATCATCTGCGAATAGTGACACCTTGACCTCTTCCTTTCCGATTTGTATCCCCTTGCTCTCCTTTAGTTGTCTTATTGCTCTGGCTAGGACTTCAAGTACTACGTTGATGAGATATGGAGAGAGTGGGCAGCCTTTTCTTGTCTCTGATTTAAGTGGGATTGTTTTAAGTTTCTCTCTATTGAGTTTGATGTTGGCCATAGGCTTACTGTATATTGCCTTTACTATGTTTGGGTATGTGCTTTGTATTCCTGATCTCTCCAAGACTTTAAACATGAATAGGTGTTAGACTTTGTCAAATGCCTTTTCAGCATCTAAGTAGATGATCATGTGGTTTTTCTCGTTCAGTTTGTTTATGTGGTAGATTACATTGATAGATTTCTGTATGTTGAACCACCCTTGCATGCCTGGGATGAAGCCTACTTGGTCATGGTGGATGATATCTTTGATGT